TTGAAGCTATTTCTCCTAAGGCCTGATGTGTGAAATCTGACACCATCTTCTGGGGATGTGCTATACTGTACACTATACCAAAAGTGGCATTTGGACAGCCATGATGTCTGCCTGCAGCGCCAAGCGTGTTTACCAGCCACATTTCTAGGACAATCTCATCTATGTTGTGCAGAGTTCAAATGTCAGAATCAGATTTATTGGTATGTATGTTGACACACACAAGGAATTTGGTTCCAGCCATTGGTGTCTCTCTAGTTTTAAATGCACTATACAAACAATGTACAAATTGTTGACAGACAATACACAATGTACAATATTCACAGTATAAAATAAATGTGGTATTAATGTAGGACACCAATTCACCCAACAAGTTCGGTTATGTTCCCGTGTAGAAATACTAGTGTATTGCTATGGTTTGCTTGAAACAAATCAGTAAATGAACATTGTGAACAATGTTTATTGTAAATCTGAAAGCTTTTACAGTCACTTGGGCCTGTTACCACGGTAACTCCGTCAACTGTCATCAGGCACAGGCCTGCTTGCACAGGATCTGCATGCAGGTCCTAAAGCAATTGCCCCTATGATATATATATAAGTGTTTTAAGACTGCATGCTTAGTTAATTTTTACATACAGGGAAACAACTTGTGGTGATCGACTGTATGATACAGATGCGGCAGACAAAGGATTAACGGAGTATTCCAAGAACATGTTAATTTATCCTATTTCCTTTGGTCCCTTGAAACACAGCAGGTTGATTTCAACAATCAGTCGGCTTAAATAAGTGTTGCAGAAACAGGCCGTGAATGGTGTGAGATGGGTGCTGGGATGGAGGGATTGTGGCTGAGCATGGAGAGCAGCACACGGAGAGAGAGTGGCGAGGCGTGGGCGAGCGAGGGTCTGCAGTTAAAGCGGAACGGATGATTCACTCCTCTCTCCTCAGGAGCTTTCAGAATGCTCTCTGTCTCTCTCTTTCACTCTTTGTACCTGTCTCTCTCTCTCTCTCGCCTGCCCTCCCCTGCATCAGCACACCTGCCTCTTTCAGCCGCACTCGTTCCACCTTGACAACCAGCTTCAGCAACCAGTTGTTTAAAGGGAAGACAACGTCCAAATTGATGTCCCTCACGCTGGGCTAGTCTGTCATCCACAAAAACACTGGCAGAGAAAAGAGAGGGAGAAAGAGGGTGGAAAATGACAGTGCTGAAAGAGCAGCATGGTATGGGCCCTCAAAGGTAGTAACATGACAGTTATTGTTAGAAGATTCCTGAGCTCGGAGCCAGGCATCTCCCAAGGGGTTAATGACAAGGATTGGTGTGTGTCACTCCCAGCTCTGACGGCTCCACTGCGCAGCAGATACGTGTGCATCCATTTGTCTCAAATAAATGAATAGTGCTCAATCAGGAAAGAGCCTTGGGTTCCCGCTGCCATGACAACCCGCACTGTTACAGTGAGGCTGCTGTCATGGTGACCTCCGAAAGCGCACTTGCCTCTGTGTATCTTTATTGTGTAGAACTCATTAGCGCTAGACGGGAGGGGGGGGGCATGCTATTAACTAGAGAGAGGAAAAAAACGTAAATGCTCGTACCCATCAGCGGTGAGGATTTGAATCATATGAAAACATGTTAATAGCAGAGATCGTTCATAACGTATTATCAGCAATAGAACAGGATCTGCATTTGTATTGGCCGTTCTCAGCTGCCTTCATCCTTGACACAATGTAGCATACACTTGATTTGAGGTTATTGGAGCCTGTTGGGATGGCAACAGAGTAGGTGCACTTGCAATGGTTTGCTTTGAAAACAGCATATCTCTTTAGGGTGGTTTGTGCTGTAGATATGTGAAGTACTGGTGCAACACTCGAGGGATTTTTTGGAGGAATTCCTCCACCCAACAGAGGAACAGTTCTAGGCAAGGAGATCTACTACTGCTCAGAAATTTGTCCAACAGTTTTTCACAAAAATAACAGTCTTGAGCCGAAATAATAAACAGAAATGTAACATCTGACAAGTTCAAATTCAAGAACCTGTCCTATCAGTCTGTTGAATATCAAATTAATCTTCTACAGTAGATGTCAGAAAGATGGTCTTTTTTTAATATTTGGGCGATGGCTTACCCTACGTCGTCTTTGGTTATATGTCACTTCAACCCTGTTGGAATTGCTGTCGTAGCAGTCAAACATAGTAATAGCTTTGACATTATGTGTAAATGCTGTTTAAGTTCATTTTGCTGGAAAAAATCTAAAACTCATACAGCTAGTATTATCAGTTGTTTACAGTCTTCAAAAGATTCAGATATTTTACAGTATTCCTTTAAACTGGCTGTGCTGCCATTTAATTTTCTTTCCACTTTTGTTGTATAATCCAAATTTGCTTCAATCAAAAGAAAAAAATATACATTTCACACATTATACAGGACTGTGTAAAAGTCAGAGACCACCTTTCAGTTATTTAAATTCCAGTCAAAATAGCCATTAAGTACAAGATGATTCATCAATAATAAAATAAATGTTTCCATTCAGAGTTGTAGAGAAGTGGGGAATCCTAGCAAGACCTTGTTGACCACCTAAACTGTCACCATCAGAACTTTAAGCTGTCATCTTGAGCAGTAAAAATCAAGCTCCACTTTTGCTTCAGATCTGAAAAAAACACCATCCTTCCATTCATCCTGAGAAGACAACTCAACACTATGAGTCTGAAAGGACGTGCAGCTGTCAAAAAGCTGTTACTGAGAATAGAAAATACACAAAAAAGGCCCCAGAGTCCAGACCTCAACATCATTGAATGTGTTTGGGATTACTTGGATCATGAGAGGCAGAAAGTGCTACCAACTTCTAAGTCTGAACTTTATAGTGTGTGGAAAACTAAAACACTTTTTTGGAACACTAAAAGCACTTTTGAAATTATATCTAGTTAGGTTTCTGTGTAATTTTCTGCTTTTTTTCCCTGATGCTGGAAAAAGAATAATTTGTACATAATGGCTATTTTGACTGGAATTTAAGTGAGTGAAAGGGTGGATTCTGATTTTGCACGGTGCTATAAATCATATATTCTTAAAAATATAGATTCCAAAAAGGTGCTTTAGAGTGTTGCTATAAAAGAACCGGTTTTAGTTCTCTAAAGAACTAATTGATGTTTCTTCAGTTAACCAGTGTTGTCAATGGGATGTATAAGTGTGAAGAACCATTTTTAGAGTTAAAAGAACCTCCTATAACTAAGAACCATTTAAAACCTTTATTTTTAAGAGTATACATATAAATTGGACACTACATACTTCACATTGAAGACTTGGGACAAGAACAAGTAATAGATTGTAATGTATGACCATAAGTTAGTTATAAATAACTTGGCATGTCTATATTTTTAATGAAGACAGACACAATCTTAACAAGACTTGATAAACAATCACTGCTGTTCATTTCCTTTTATGTAAAACCTGTATTCTATCAAATGCTTCACTTTAAGTGAAACTGTGTACTTTATCTATTCATTTCCTCTGTGTATGACAGCTGAACTTTTAAGAATTCACTTTGCAGATGGTTCCAGACTTTTTTCGTTAACATCTAAGACGCATGTGTCAACCTCATAATTATAAACCACAAAGAGATCAGCTATAACTGAAACAGAATAGAACAGCGTATGACAATGTGACATTATAAGTCTTATTTTGAATATGATTACGTGTTAGCAATAGAATAGCAATAAAATATTGTATATGATTACAGTGTTTTGATAACTGGAGTCCAAATATTCATTGGTACGTGGTGCCTAAATAACCCTATGGAGTAATTATTGTACAAATTTGAGTTTCCTTGGTTTGCAGTATGTAAATAGACCCAATAATAGGCCCAGTATGAGCGTCTTTTGTGAATGGTACACGTTTGAATAGCCGTTCCATGCAGGCCTTCTCTGCAGTGGCGTTGTAACTCAGCTCAGTGGCGATCAATAGAGAATGAGGCTAGCAGGCCGTTTCCCCAGCGGCCTACATGGGTCAGTCAATATGTTGCTCTCTTCTTTGACATTGAATTGATTGCGAGACTGTTGTTCGTAAAACTGTTTAGGAAGTGCAGGGAAAAAATAGAAATAAATAAAGAATGTTTTGAGCCACGCTTTTTGTGTGTGGTAAGGGCTGTGGTGGTTTTTGCATACAGAATCAGCCTGATGTGTTCTGTATTAGCTAAAGCAGTGGACAGAGCTGAAATTCCTTTCTTGGATGATGGAGTATCAACGGTTTTGTGTAGAAATAGCAAGAAACAGAACAGACAATTGCAACTAGGGCTGTTATTATTTATTGATTGACGGTCACTCAATTTAAAAAATCATAAATCACTGACTAAATTTCACATGAAAATTTGATTGAAGACCATGCATCTTGAAGCAAAGAGAGCCTGAGAGACACAAACATGTAACATTTATATGTATTTTTTGCCACACGTGCACAAACACACACACACACACACACACACACACACACTCACACACACTCACAAAATAATCTCCATTCTCATTGTTTGTTTGTTTACATAATTTGTTAATGCCAGCTACCTTTCACATTGTGTGAAATTTTTGCAGTAGTTATGGTCCAAAATTACTTCCATTACAAGTTAAGAACATTTATTTCTTTCTCCATAAAAGTTTTGGAGATACATGTTTTTTTTAGAATCAATACAGTATCACAAAACATAACATTGTAATAGTCAAGTGTTTCCATATTTTCTTACACCCCAATCATTAGAGAGAAGCATTCAGACCAACCAGTGAAAACCAATAACTCTTTTAAAAAAACTGTCAGATGTTACTTAAAAATCAGTAAAGTAGAACCTTTTGTGGTCACAATAATTGCTAATATAAAGTCCAATAAAAGATATTAGGTATGTCAACCATGTCAATACTTTCTCTAACTGAAAAAGGTACTTTTAATAAAATCAGGCCCAGAAAGCAGTGTACATGGTTTGACAGACACCTCTACCAACACCTGATTAATGGGGCTTATTTTTACTTGCAGTTCCCAGAGTGTGGATTCTATGGGATGTATGACAAGATCCTGCTTTTCCGTCATGATCCGACCTCCGAAAACATCCTGCAGCTGGTCAAATGTGCATCCGACATCATGGAAGGAGACCTGGTGGAGGTAGTGCTCTCTGGTAAGTTGTAAACAAATCCAGTGTACTGTGTTTCTTCTTGAAGCCTCTAAGTTTTAAGTTTTTTTGGGGGGATGCCCAAGCTATACTTCAAATAATGTCTGATGCATTGCAGAAGAAGGGACAGTTGTTTTTATTACCAATGAATTTGTGGAGAAATTAACTGAAAACTGCCAAATTAAACTATCCATCACACAGTAGGAGTGTAACAATACACAGAAATGTGTAGTGGATTTTGCAACATGATGCGATGCAATTATGATTATAGAAGCAAAAACCAATGCCAACATACAGTATGCTTTTTTTGAGCAATTGCCAAAAAAAGGAAAGCCACAATCTGCCTAAACAAGACTTGGTGGTAAAATCATAAATAACATAAACAATGAATTTTCTTAGAAGACAAGTAAATCTACATACAGTGTAAATGGTTTTGAGTGCAGCACAGTTGAGTTTTTTGTGGTTATTTCTTATAGGAGTCTTGTTTTTTTAATAGTACAGTGCAAACATTTCAATGGTCACCATGTCTGTGCTTAAATATCAAGACCACATATAAATGATAAAATATACTGTGAATTTTTTTTTGCAAGTGCAGATTTTTTCAATCATCAAGGTTGCACACAGCAACACTGCACCATTTATGGCTGTACCCCTCCCCCCATTTTATTTGGCATGTGGGAATTTTGACGCCCATCCAAGTTTGGCTGCCGTAACCGGTGCGAAAGCCGGAGCTGTTTCATCCAGGAGGAGGAAGCGGTGGAGGTATCGCGTTTGACACTGCTAAAGTGTTTCTACAAACGCTTGGCAGGCCTTTTTCCCTTTTTACCTACTCTTCCCCTCCACTGCGGTATGACAGGTAATTGAGTGGAGTCTGTTCTGAGAAGATAAAGAGGGACTGACACCTTTTGTATACCTCCCCACATTTTCCCCCCAGTGTGTTCTGGCTGCTCTGTGTTTGCATGTGTGTGTGTGTGTGTGTGTGTGTGTATGTATGATTGTTAGGGAGGAGAAGAGGTGATTAACACGCCCAGATGCGCATAGTCTCAAAGATGAGCCTCTGGGAGTGACACTCCTCAAACAGCACACCCGGCAGCTGATCTCACTGTAAAATAACATAATAGGACGACATGACCGCCACAAAGTTAGATCAATGGTTATTAATTATGACTCCCCCTCGAGAGAGCTAAGTCAGCCAGAATCATTTATAATGATTGTCTCGTCACTTTCCTCTGGGGGTATAATTTTGCTAACAAGCAACGCAAAAGTTGGATTCTGTTGAACTACAAAAGATATTCCACTTAGCTACTGCTGCAAAGATATAGCCTTGCAGCCTCTTCAAAATACAGCAGACACCTTTTTGTTACTGATTTTTTACGATTAATTTAATGTACACTACGCTTCCAAACTCATTTGTATAGAACAGATATCCATACACCTATGACTGCTTCAGACCAGTTGAATACTGTATTATTTGACTGTATTGATGGAAGAAGTAAGAACCTGGTGTGAAGTCTAATCATACATTCCTGTCCTGATCTTACTTCACCTGGTTTCCAGTCATGATTTTCGCAGTTTTATTGGAAGAGTCATCCATTTCAGAGCTGTCAAACAACAATTCTGGGAGGAACATAGGTATATATGTACGTGCCTGACCTGTTTTGAACTTACATATATTCATAAATAATCACAACAAACTAGCACACAACTGAATTAAAATCAGTGATGTGTTTCGCAGTTAACTGTAATAGCTTGTATAATAGTGAAAATGGGGTGTGGGTCCTTGGGAAATGAACTCAGGACAGGGATGTGAGATTGGGCTTATTGGGGGCTAAACTGAGGGGCTTATTTTCTGAAAAGATAGAACAAAACAGGCTAACATTAACATTCAGGCTTTTAATTATTATTTACTGAATGATAGAAAGGAAAGAATATGTTACCAGAATGCCTTTTGTTAGATTTGCCAGTGTGGGAAAATGGTTTAGCTTTTGACACTGTTAGCTGTGTACTAACACAACACAGGAAATTGCATTGAGATGCTTGCAGGAATTAGCATTATGATTGTGGTGGTAATTAGGTGAGCGAAAACTACTTATAAGATAAGAATAGTTGTCTGCAGTAACATTGCTTTATTATGATGATTTCATTATTATATAGCAAAGAAGTAGCAAGTTTATAAAATGAATACAGTATACAGTGATGGGCAACCAAAAGTTCTTTTATTTATTTTATTGACATACCTTTTATTTTATTGATGAAAACATTTGGCACATTTTACCGTTGACAGATTCTGTTAAGTGAAATGAGGGAGGGCAAGAGGCCAATACATAAAATTTTCAGGGGGCCTGAAATACCTACACACTTAAAAAAAGGTCCTTCAAGGGTTCTTTAGTACAGAAAATGGTTCTACATAGAACCATGAACACTCACAGAATCCTTTGCATCATTAAAGGGTTCTTTGCATCGTGAAAGCGTTAGCTCTATAGTACCTTTTTGAAAAGGATTTTATATAGCACCAAAAAGGGTTGTGCTATTGTTACAAGCTTGACAGTGTGACAATAGAAGAACCCTTTTTGGTGCTATACAGAACCCTATATAGAACCTATAGAAGGTTCTATATAGCACTGTCTTCAGCACATTCTCCATCAATCTGAAGAACTCTTTCAATATGCAAAAACCCTTTAATGATACAAAGGGTTTCTTGAGTGTTTATGGTTTTATATAGAGCCATTTTCTTTACTAAAGATCCCTTGAAGAACCATCTTTTTTAAGTGTGTACCAGTGTACATGTCCACATTGGGCACAGAAAATGCATGAGCATGGTGAGCTTTATTGCTCAAAATGGTAGTGTGTGACATAAATAACATAAAATCTATGAATGTTCTTCACATATCAAATAAATATCAAATAAATGCAACAACAGGATTGACTCAACGGTGTTGACGATTGTTAAACAGCTTCTTTAAAGGGTTAAAAAGTGTTTTTCCATGAAAGAAAAATCCACTGTAGGGAGCTGCACAAAGTTAGTGTGATTTGTAGCAACTTACATAACCTTTTCCCCTTACCTACCAATTCAGTCACAGTTCCTAGTGCAGTGTTCTTTTCCCATCACATATCCGCAGCTAAATGTGAGAATGTGAAAGCTGTACATGGCTCCTCTTATGTGTGAGAAACTTGTCACCACATTGCTGAACACCTGAATATTGTCACTGTCATAAGAAAACCTTGTATTCTGAAAAGGTAATCTCAAAGGAGAAGGGAAAAACCTTTTAAAGCCCCTGTCTACTTATTTTCATGCTATTATCTATAGCTTTTCTGGTGTTTTTACTATGAACTGGCATAGAAAGAAATCTGTTGGTCTTTTCTGTTGAGAGATTTTTGAAATGACTTTTTCTGCTGTTCTGTTCATTTTGAGCTGGGCAGGACTAAATTAGGCGCAGCTTTCTTTACTTTTAAAACAAAATTTAAGCATTTGAAACCATGCTGCCAGGGACTTTAAATTATTAACTAAATTTGCTGATGTAAATTAAAAAACGTTTTTATTGGTCCACTTTACATGAGATGTTCACACAAAGTGAAGAGCAAGTAATGTTTTAAATGGTGTCAAAAAATGAAAACTGGAAAAAATGTAACTACAAAATTTATTTAGTAAGCACTTTGCTCTGTCACAGTATGATCCAGTTGCACAATTGGTTGGCGCACAGTGATGGGCGAGAGATTGACCTGCTGTCCTTTGCTCACGCAGACAGAGAACTCACAGTGCTGTGTTCCAGTGGACCTCTGGTCACAGATGGCCAATAATACAATTGCATTACCTGATTTGATGTCTTTAGTACACTTATGTACGGTCGTATGCAATAGATTAAACATCCCTGGTCAAATAACATGTTTTGTTGATTTTTGTGAATATACGCTTGAAGTACACATCCTCTACAGAGAACAGACTTGTATTTATTTGCTGAATTTAACATATGGAAAAAAAATGAAATATCAAACATAAAACGTGTCAGAACTTTTGCACAGGCCACATCTTATTTTTTTCCCATTATGTTAAATTCAGCAAATAAAGAATAATTATACAATAAAATGTGCAGAATTGGGTTCTCTGTAGAAGATGTGTTAACTTATTTTACTTAGAAAAGATGCAGTTTTTTAACTTTGCATGAAGGAATCAGACTATTATATTATCATATTATATTATTATATTATTATATGAGATTGGAAGCACTTGCCACTTGGTGTTTTTGCTGTTATTATTATAACTTAAACAGCATAGTCTGAATTACTGTAAACCAGACACTTAGAGGTATAACATTTTTTTATGCATTAATATAAGTTTTCTGCAGAAACCATTAAAAGTGTATTAAATGATAAATATGGTACTGTAATGATCTATTTATAGTTATGCCTTGATAAGTTATTTGCCTCCAGATTTGATCACCACTTTTCAAAGTTTGGATGCTAATTTTATCATAACTTCAATCTTAATGTTGTACAGCGTTCTCAATCTTTCCAGGATCAATTACAGCTCAGTTTGTCGTTCTGGATACATTGTTGCTTCATTTTTACAGCTTCCTACAAATTAGTTTTGTGCAATTACAGAGCAGTAGCATCATATTAAAATCATTGTATCCACGTTATTTTTTTTTGACTTTTGTATTTCAATATTATGACCAAAACATCCCCATCACTGTTTTAGATAAGTCAAGGAATGCGTGTTTACTTGATATGCTATTAATATATGTCCAATGAAATGTCTCTGAGACATTTCTGGGACAACATGCAGTTTGTATCAATATTGCATCAACATCAATGTTAAGAGCATTAACCTCTCAAGAAAGCACACTGATTCAGAGGACATATGAACATGTCTTCGTAATGACACCTTGAAAAAGCTCACTTGTTATTGTTGGAATCAGTGCCCATAAAATCCAACCAGACGAATACTGCCATTTGAACATCACTGGTTGCTGCTAACAGTCTCTTCTTAAGTGAATTAGCCAATTTTT